ATGTGATTGTGATGCTGTAATTCTAAGTGTTTTATGTGCTGCAGAACAGGAACCTGCTGTAAAACAGCAATTATGCTGAGTCAGGCTTGATTTTTAATAATCTTTTCCTGTTAAATAAATAAATCAAATCAAATCAATTTTGACACAAAGTAATAGACAACATAATAATATAATATGAAAACTCACGTTACTGTCTTCACATTATCTATCAAGTGCTTTGTCATATCCTATTTGACATCATGACCATTTCATTTCCTCATTACTTCCCATCAATAATTGTTTTTGTTGACAGCTATACAAGGAGCTGAGTCAGTGCTACCAAACTCTCATGTCTAGCGAGGCCAAACTCCGCCAGAGTCACCAGGAGCTCAGTAGCCAGTTGGCTCAGAAAGTCCAACACATCTTTGAACTCCAAGCTCAGCTACAGAAACAGCAGGAACAAATGCACCAGCAGCATCAGGCTCAGCGCACAGCTGTTTACCGCTCACCAAACAAGCAAACCAACTTTAAGGTAAGCTCCCCTCTCAATCTTTACTGACTCTCCCACAGATGCTCCTTCTTTTTTTCAAGTTTAATAATGTGCATAAGAATTCAACCCAAAGGAATGCTGCTTATTGATGCATGCACTGGATCTGCATTTGTATTCTTATGGCCAACAAAAGACTCCCTAAATAGAATAGTTTGACTTACATAATGAACACATTTTTATTGTGATACCTATATGAGTCACTTATCATGAGGTGTAGAGAGCGTAACGTGTAGGTGGATTAACACCTACTGTAATAACTGAGACACCCCAGGACGACCTGTGGTGGTGGTCTATAACTCAGAATCATTCTTTTGATATTGCTCTAGTTCACCCTTGATCTATGCGTCTCTCTTTGCACCACTGTCTTTTATGTCAGTTATTTGATCCTCTCACTCTCAGACCCCAACACACAAGCTCTCTCTGATTTACTTACTTCATCAGTCTTCCTTATCTTCTACTACTGAAGTAACTTTAAGTCCTTTTAACACATTCTGCTCAAGAAGAGAGGTGAATTAATTGGGAGACCCGTAAGATGATGTTAGAGTTACATTTCTACTTCTGTCAGTCAGCGGGAGCTTGACTTTAATTCAGGTCCTTTGAACAGTCACCCCACGGGGATAGAGGCTCTTAATAGTATTTAATGATATGGCGATAGGTGTTGGACCACACACACTTGGTTGAGAAAAATAACACTAGTTTCCACATTGATAAGTGCATGAGCCACTGTCCAAGTGAGAAAATTTCTTTATGTGAGATTGAACATGTAAATGTCCTCCAGTTTGCTGGATAGGATTGGAGGGGTGTCCATTTTTAAAACCTTTAAAATATCTGCAAATTATTATTATTTTTTGACATTTCAATTAGAATTGTTCATTGCGTTGTCTAATACATCATTTTATTTTTAATGTTTTAGATGTTGGATTCAACACACAAATATTTTTCTTCTGCATCATAAAACCAAGAGATTTACAATAACCAATGGCTTCAAATAAAATTTCATTATGATTCAAAATTAACATGTTACATTTCTGATTATTTTTGTCAGAAATTTTTGTTTATTGACTTTATCAGTGTAATGAATGAGTGTAAGCATTCATTGCACTTCCCCTCCTAAACAGTAGAATTCACTACAGAGAGAATAAAACCTTTAAACAGAAGAAATGACATTAAATAAGTTAGGCTTGTGTTCTTTTTGATTCTCAATACTCTAACATTACATCTCAGAAAATCTCCACACTGTATTACTCACATAACTGTGGTTCTATGAGTACTACACATAATGCTCTAACACTTAGCGTGCACTAAGTACTTAACTTTGACTTATCAATTAAAATATTTTTTTTCTTCTTAACCTGGGCTTTAAAACAATTTTAAAAATGCGATTGATGTTCACTTTAAAGAAGTTACAGAAATAAATTGGGTAGTTAAATGTTCAAATTTAGGGAAGTAAATATTTCCAGTTTGATACAGAAAAACATGTTTTTTACAAAGTGCTATCTTTAGAAATTATTCGTTTTCCTTAATAGGATTCTGCACTTGGCCCGATGTAGATTTTCCCAGCCTGTTCTGCAATTTGATTAGAGTCAGTTTTGGACTCCAATCCTGTCTCAGAGTAAAACATTTTTGCAGTAGTCAAGCAAAGTCCTGCCTCCACAGACAGTAATTATTTAATCTGATCAGTTGATATTTTTTTTCTGAAATTGCTGCCCCCCCAGACTGTGGAAGTCAAAAGATATCAGCTCAAATGTTAAGTGAGTTACAATCACCCAATCTCACTTAACCCGGTTAATTGAACCAGCAGTAAAGTTTAAATGGTTCATTTAGTCAGTAATTAAATCCAGTACTGCAGAGTTCCCTCAGTAATTAATACTACAGTACATTTAGAGGAGACACAGTTAGTGCTGTGCGTGTGTGTTTGTAATGTAGTGTTGACAGGTACTGTATGCATGTGAGTTTCACTATATACTGTGTATGTAT